AGGTACATCTGCCGCATCCGCAGATCTTGGAGTCCCCTTCTATCCTTTCTGATGTTGCTTCCCTTTTATTTATTCTAGTACAGATGTATAGAACAGTTAGAGATTCGTAGAAGCTTGTGACTTACGATGTTCCGGGTCTTGAGAGAGTTATGTACATTTTGAGAGTGATTATTGTATATATCGAGCGACATCTCAAATGGTTTATCTAAATTATCTGTTTCTGATGGTTGTTAATACTTAAGTTTTTAATTTCGTTTCCGCAAATGTTAGGCTTACCTAGTCATTGAGACTAGGTGCCGTCACGATAATTCACGGATGGAGAATTTGGGTCGTGATAGGCTTGAAATAGCGAAAGTTAGAATTTTGAAAAGTTTGACTGGGGTGGACTTTTTGATATCGGGGTCGGATTGGATTTTCGGAAGTTGAAGTAGGTTCGTGGTGTCATTTGTGACTTTTGTACAAAATTTGAGGTCAATCGGATGTAATTTGATAGGTTTCGGCATCATTTGTAGAATTTGGAAATTTCAAAGTTCATTAGGCTTGAATTGGAGGTGATTCATGTTTTTGATATTGTTTGAGGTGATTTGAAGACTCGACTAAGTTCGTATGATGTTTTAAGACATGTTAGTATGTTTGGTTGAGGTCCCAGGGGACTCAGGTTGATTTTGGGTGGTTAATGGACTTGGAATTAAATTTGAAAGGTAGTTAAAGTTTGGTTTCTACCGGTGTGATCTCACCTGCGAGGGTCTTAGCCACAGGTGTGATGCCACAGGTGCGGTAGGTAGAGCATAGAAGTGGAGTTGAAGGGAGTCAGCAACGGCCGCAGGTGCGATGGGTTTTCCGCACCTGCGATGGCGCAGATGCGGTAAGGGTGTAACAGAAGCTGTGGCAGCTGGGATTAGTGACTTCCACAGAAGTGGAATTTTCACCGAAAAAGCGGGACCAGAGAAGAAAATTTTGGGACCGTAGGTGCAGTATAACTGGGCAGAACATATAAATGCTAGGGCTCACGATTTTGGCTTCATTTTAACATTTTGAACTCGGAATTTAGCGATTTTTGGGTGGGATGTCGAAGGGATTCTTTAGGTAAGTCACTTGTGGTTAAATTTCTTCAATAATTATGCTTCCCCATTGATTTTCCCACCTAGTAGGTGTGTTTTTGAGGTGTAATTTGGGGGGTTCAAGGCTAAGGAATTGGATAGTGTAATTTGGGGATTTGGGTGACGAATTGGTATGGGATTTTGATAAAATTTCTATTGTTGAACTCGTGATTGAATGGAGTTTCGATTTTTGTGTGTTTTGTTGGATTTCGAGACATGGGTCAAGGAGGCCGGTTTGAAGCAATTTTGGACTTTTGAGTTATAACTTCGTAATTTCTTGTAGAATTGATTCCTTAGCATGTGTTGATTATATTGTATCGTTTGTGGCTAAATTCGAGAAGTTTGGAGGCCGATTTGCGAGGCAAAGGCATATTGGAGTAGGGATTTTTCTCGGATTGAGGTAAGTAACAGTTCTAAATCTGGTCCTGAGGGTATGAAATCCCGAATTATGTATTATATGATTCGTTTGGAGGTGTCGCACATGTTAGGTGACGGGCGTGTGGGCATGCACTATAGGAATTTGGACTTGGTCCATTCCATGAAACTGAGAAGTTAAATGACTTATTGCTAGCTATATGCTTTTCATGTGTTATAGAAATTTGACTGCAAATCATGTTAGAAATCATGTTTAGGATATGTTTCAGTATTGTTGGGACCTACAGAGGCCATGATAATATAGACTGAGATATGATATGTAAATAGAACTGAGATTGAGTACAAACAACAATTAACAGGTAGTTCAACATGATACTGATTATTATGATTTCTGAGAGCCAGAGAGGCTGGAGAGATTGATGACTGAGTAAGGACGAAGCCTGATTGTGAGGATAATTATGGGATCGAGCTGCACGTCGCAGCATGTTTCATTGATTTTTTGCCATGATTGGCTTGATATAGCGCTTGGGCTGAAGGAGCCTCTGCGAAGTCTGTACAGACTCCCAGTGAGCGTAGGTACCTACTAAGTGCGAGTGCTGAGTACCGAGTGTTGAGTGACTGTAAGGAATGAGTAATTGTGAGGTTGAGTGATTGGGAGGACTGAGTGACTGTTTCTCTGAGAGGTGTATTTGATTTCATTGTTGTTGCACCTTGTTGCCATTTATCACTATTTTGAAACTACTGAGAGATATTATACCTGGTTTCTACTTGAACTTGGCATGCACTAACTGATTTGACTTAAATGGCCGGATTTGAAAGTATGTCTACTTTCTTTGTTGAGAACACTGAAATTGAACTATAACTGTGTAGCCCGTCACTATCTTCAATTCTTTATTTAGTTTTGTTACTTACTGAGTTGGTTGTACTCATGCTACACCCTGCACTTCCTAAGTAGATACAAGTGTTTCCGGACACGGTGGGTGTTGATATCTCGCACAGCCGATCGTTGGAGACTTTGAAGTAGCCGCCCGACGTTCACAGTCCTTGTTTCTCCTTCCTTATCTTTTCTTTTATTGTATTTTGATCCATACTTTCATAGACATTTCTTTTCTAGACTGGTGATGTATATATGTTCATGAGCTCAATGACACCATGATTTGGGGGTTTTGTTCCGCATTTGTGTTTTGGGTTTTACCCCGTTTATGAGCATTTAGTCATTAAAAACTACTTTTATTCATTTTCTGTTAAATCTTAGAAATGTCGGCTGACTTCGTACCACGATAGACGACATCACGACATGTTAGGATTTGGGTCGTGACATAAGGAGATATGAACCATAGCATTATCATTTTTTAAGAAATATTTGAGAGAGCCTCTATTGTTAAAAATTGTAGATAGATAGAATTGAACTCATGAGCTATTTTAACTCAAGACTCAACAAAACCAATGAACTAAAGCTATTTTTTGCTAAGTAATTTGATAATTAATATTATTTATTCTCCGCTCTTCTATAAATATTGACACCTCTTCTAAAAAAATCTATGTACGCCTCAGTTATCATGGTTAGACCACAAAATGATATGCTACTTTTACAGAGCTAACAAGGGAAGAGTAAAGATCAAAATTTGAGCTTGCGACATTTTTGTTCATAGTGTGGAAACCCTTTGTAGGCCATCATTTAAATTTTGTTCTCCATTAACTCACTAAACAAAATTTACCTATAAAATAATCATCCGATTAGACGAAATTTAACCCACTGAATTGCTGGAAATAGAACTTAAAGTATGGCCTCAAAAATGGGACCTTTGATCTATTTTGGTGTTTAATTTAGGTTAAGTTCACGAGACCTTGAAAGGAGCTGGTCTTAAACTTTTGGCCGTTGAGACAGATTGCTTGACCAATGGGCAAAACTTTAAGCTTAATAAGCTTTGCCCATAAGATAAAATATTTGACTTTTGACCTTGAAAGTTTGTTCATTAGTCAAGCGATATGCCTTAAAGGACAAAATTTAAAGACACCCCTATGACGTCCAACTTATACCATTTTGTGCTTTAATTTGAAGTCTTGAATGAAGAAATTTCAATAAGTTGAGCTACATTTGTTTTCAACTTTTTATTAACACTATCACTTTACAGATTCCATTTATGCTTGTTATTCTTTGGAAAAATTGCGCGACACCTCAAATATTTACACTGTATTTGTCATTCGTAGTTATACTTTTAGCAAATTTATCATTCATAGTTATATTTAAATTTTGTAGCAAATCCATGAAATAAGAGATTAATTATTTTGAACTGAAACAAGAGAGCAATAAGCTCTCGTAGCTTAGTTGGTTAGAGCGCTTGCTTAGTTAGTGGAGGTCTTGAATACAACTCTCCACAAGAACATTTTATTTTTCTTTCACTTTCGTTGTATTCGTTGCAGGAACAAATAAAACATATACTTGTTGTATCATTTGTATAACCACATCAACTCTTGTAGCTTTGTTGGTTAGAGTGCTTGCTTAGTTAGTGGAGGTCTTGAGTACAACTCTCCACAAGAACATTTTATTTTTTTGTATTTCGCCTTCGTTGTATTCGTTGCAGGAAGAAATACAGTCGATACATGTGGTATCATCTGTATAACAACAACAACAACCCAGCGAAAATCCCACAAGTGGGGTCTGGGGACGGTAGGGTGTACGCAGCCTTTCTCCTACCATGGGAGAGCAGAGAGACTGTTTCTAATAGACTCTCGGCTAAAGAAGATGGATGTTGTATCGTTTGTATATACCCTTATATTTCGCCTTGGTTACAGTTGATACATATTGTATTCGTTGCACGAATGAATACGATTGCACGAACGAATACAGTTAATACACATTGTATTCTTCGCGCGAATGAATACAGTTGACACAGGTTGCATTCGTTGCACGTTTGAATACAAGTGATACAATTTAGTAACAATTGAATAGTAGCTACTAATGGTAATTTGCTTGTTTTCCGAAGTTCTTAGTACAAAACAAAGGGGAATGAAGTGTATTAGAACAGAATTCATGGAGAAGGATATTTGAAAAGTTGTTAGTTATAGGTTTTCCACAGTAGCGAAGTAATGAATAATTAAAACCTCAGACTTTCACTTTCAAATATTCTCAATCAAACCATCTTAGTATATTAGGACTCTCAAGTAGAAAATCAAAAGGTAAATTGCAGTTTTAGTCTCTAAAAAATCGATAAATTAATATCTGGTTAAGCACATTTAATCTTCATTTCATTGAAATGTGCACTTTTGATCGTTCTACTAGTAGATCTTCACAATTTAACGAATTATTAACTGTCGGATATTTAATTACACACGTACTCTGTTAAATTTGTATTGTTACTTTATATTTGATGGTATTTAGTTCTAAAATAATCTTAATATGACATACTTCCTAAACAAAAAAACACATATCTTAGATAATTCAAGGTTAAAATATTTTTAGGTCTACTATCACAAAAACCAAAATCAGAATTTACCAATAATTTAGGGATCAAAACATAAGTAAAAACAGCCAAACAGCAATCACTAACATTTGCTTGAAAGAATGCCTTATTTAACATGTAATAACATCCAAACAGCAACCAAATTGACTGCATATAATAAGTATTATAGTTATCCGTATAACAGCATCCAAACAGCAGCCAAACATGCTTGAAAGGATGCCTTATTTAACATGTAATAGAAAAGGATTACTTAAATCAGTTATAGTGAAGTCTATATGTAGGAACTGCCATCAGATGCTTGGCTCTATAAGTCACTAACCCAAATTGCTCACTCATGTCCAATTCACTAGGCTGCATACCATTTGGAAGTTCCCAATCAAAGCAGTGCACCAATTGCGCGACCACAAGGCGAACAATTATGATCCCCAACTGCATACCAGGACAACTTCTTCTACCAGAGCCAAATGGTAGAAGTTGAAAGTCGTGTCCACGAAGATCTACATTACTCTCAACAAATCTTTCTGGGAAAAACTTGTCTGGTTCAGGCCAGGCATTAGAATCCCTTTGAGCTGCATATACGTTCACAATGATTCGCGATCCCTTTTGTACGAAGAAGCCATCGACCACGCAGTCTTCTATGGACTCATGATTCAGTAATGGTGCAACTGAATGCAGCCTCAGGGCTTCTTTTATTACCATGTCTAAGTACTTTAAATTCTCTAAATCTGATTCTTCTACCATTCTGTCCAGGCCTACAACTTCTTCTAACTCTTTTTGTAGTTTCTTCATCACTTGAGGATGCCGAAGTAGCTCACTGAGTATCCATTCTACTGATGTTGCTGAAGTGTCCATTGACGCCGTAAGCATGTCCTGTGCACAAATTTGTTCCCAAAAATATGAATTAAGCAATTAAATTTGTAATGACGATCAATGACAGAGCTAGGATTTTCACTAAAAGGTGTCAAAATATAATGAAATAAATACACGAAGAAATCAAGGGGAGTTAATATATATTAACACATATATTTTAGGAAAAATTACGTAGCTACACAATATGATTTTCTGGACGAAGATGTGTCTCACAACCCTTTGGATAAGGAGGCTCCGCTTCTGATGACCGACAAACAACAACAATTACTACTACATCTCAATTCCAAACAAGTTAAGGTTAGTCATATGAATGCTCCGCTTAGGTTGCTCACACTGCAAGCAGCAGGTTGACAGCCAATATAAAACTAGTCAATGTATGACGAATCTTCATAGTACATAAAACTAAAGTTTTAACAATACTAAAAATTTCTATACACATTTTTCAAATGCAAGCATCTGTTTGTAAATTAATCACCAACTAAATATTTGAATCAATGAAATTACATACCAATAGAATAGCTTTGACATGGCGACGATCAAACTCGAATCCAGCTTCACCAGATTGCATAATGGCCATCATGGTATCTACAAAATCCTCAGTTTCCCTCTGTTCCTTAGACTGAACATGTTCTTCAATAATCTTCTCAAGAAACTCATCAAAAAACTTTGAAAGAGCCTTTAGCCTACCAGTAAGTCCCTGAAGGTCTAAAACACCAAGATAAGGAAAGAAATCACCAAGATTTGGTGTTACAGCTAGATGTGCAACTTCTTGAACTATAGATTTAAAACCCCTTTTGTCCAAATCTTCATCCATAAACTTTTTACCAAAAACCATTAAACAACTCAAGTTTGCATTCAAGGATGAAACTTTAGCACTAAGATCAACAGCAACACCATCTTGAGCAGCCTGTTTGATTGATTTAACCAAAATGTAAACTTCTTCCTTTCTTGAAGATTGATATGAATTAACCTTTTGACTAGTCAGAAGTTGCAAAGTACATAATTTTCTCATGTTCCTCCAATAAGATCCATATTTGGAGAAAATCAAGTTTCTTTGGCCATAACTTATATATTGAGAGGCCTCGTTATGAGGTCTACTAGCAAATACATGATCATAAGTCTTGAGGACTTTTTCAACTGTCTCAGGGGAAGAAACAATAATTGTTGGTACCAACCCAAGTCGCAAGTACATAAAAGGGCCATATTTCTTGGCTAATTTGTACAAATCTTGGTGTGCATTTTTACCTATTAAGTGGAGGTGTCCCAAAATTGGAATTCCTATTGGACCTGGTGGAAGTTTTTTCCTGTTTTTGATGTTTAGCAACTTATGGAACATGTATATGACTAGAGCTAGTATAAGTGTAGTCCATATTAAAGCCATGATTGGGACTTGGGAGCTCTAATAGCTGACTTTGGTTATAGAATATAGTCCCTTAAGCTTCAATATAGATAATGTCATTATAAAGGAACCCCCTTGCTTCAAGATAGAGAATGCAAGTATAAATCAATTGTACTTGCCCGCCAAGGTTGACCGAGTTGGTTGGGCGAGTGGTTTCCCACATGACAGATTTGAGATCGATTCCCCTCACCAACCACCTCCTGAGTCACAGCTCGTCTCACCGGGTGTGCCTAGTACGGTTTATATCTCTTGTATGGTTTGCAAGCGGCTGCGGGTTTCCGTGGAAATTTTCAAAAAGAAAAAACTCAATTGTACTTGCTGGATTTTCCTAAAAAAAGAAAAAAAATAATATCCTCCTATCTCTCTGACCAATTTTGGAATAAGAGATTAAACTCTTATATCAAGATAGTAAAATGCATTCTTCGAGTCCATATTATTGTCTTTTAGTAAGTTTTTAATCAACTCCTTAAGAAATAAATTTAATAGTTATAATATTTCACCAAAGGAGTAAGGTCTGCGTGTACACTATCCTTCCAGACCTCACTTTAAAAAATTAAAAATAATTTTTAATTTCTTAAAATATCAAATAATTTTAAGCAGATTCAATTTATCAGAATGTTAGTTGAATTCTTCTAATTTGAAATTTATTTATTTCGGAAAAGGGAAAGTGGCAAATTTATTTTGGAAATAGAGAAATATATCTAAAGAGGGGAGGCTCTAAAGTCTTGGCCAGTAAGACCATTTTCTTAGGCCTCGAAAATTTGAAGGCCCAAATTTACTTTAAACTCTTATTGTTATTATTACTACTATATAATATATAATTTATATTAATAATTATTATACAGAAAAGTGTTACAATATATTTTTTAATTTTTTGATTGAGATTATTTTATACCAATAAGTTCATAAATTATGATAACTTCTTCACTCATTAATTAGTATATTTGCTTCACTCTTCAATTTTAATTTTATCCTTTTTATATAGGAATTAAGTTATATATATCGATAATATAATGAATTTCTTTTACAATCTTCTCTGAAACTGCATGAACACAAAAGTATTTATGCACCGCTTTTCGTTTAGTGTAATTCAACATATTATATTAGGTTATTCATAATTTATTTTAGATATTCACCAATAAGCACTACTAATTAATAGAATAAACTACGATTATCGTTTAAATTGATCAGAAGGAGTAAACATTTTTGCCACCGTCAATGCTCAAAACTTAAGCTTTTATATAATGTACATTTATTTCTTTTTCTTGATTGTGATGATAGCCAAATCAAAATTTTCACTTTGAGTTCTAGACCTCAACATCTGATAATCCACCACTTTATTCTTTGTACTCTTCTTCCTAGTTTTTTTTAATTTACTATTTTTTGTCTTAAATGATTAATTTGTTATTTAGAAAGCAAAATTTGTTGTTAGTGTAAAAATCTTATAGAATAAATTTAAGGGACTCTCAATATGATTTCGCCTTGAGCCACAAGATCTGTTGAGCGCCTCTGTATCTAAAGAAAGAAAAAAGCCATTACTAATTATGGAGAGGGGGTGAGAAAATAGACAAAAATAGACGAAAATAGACAAGAAAATTATGATTCAAAGTAGTCAACATAATAAGATATGTTGTAGCCACCGAAAAAGAAGATGATGGAGTATTATGTTATCCTTATGGAAGCAAGTGGGCACACACCATTTTGATGTTTAATGTTAAATATATTTTTTTTTGGGTAAAATACATATATTGACAGAAAAATGAGATTTCCTCCTTATTGTATTTGAGCTCAATCTATATTTATATCTATCTATACATATTAAAAGAACGAAGACCCTTAGCAAAATGTCGTTCGCCTTTTTTACGCCTTTAAAATACCTTTAATAATGGATAAAATTGTAATTCAAGTACTTTCCTAGTATTTAGGACGTTGAAATCAATTAAAACTTTGCATATTAAATCTTTTCTTACTAAACTAGGTAAGAAAAAATACATAAATATTTTACCTTATATATATTATACTAATTGAAAATAGATGAGAACATTTTATTCGGTGCTTTGAATTGATATCTAATTAATGAAAGTATGACGACATGAAATCACATATCAAATTAAACTTTTTTAATACAATAGCGTCAGCATTAAGTTGTTTTAGCATGGAACAATCAAGTGTGCATTGAAAAAATTCTTATTTTAGTCAAATAATATAATAAATCCATGTTCAATGAAACACTCAAAATATTCTTATTTTAGTCATATAATATAATAAATCCATGTTCAATGAAACACTCAAAATAATTATTTGATAGCATATTTAATCATATTACATCGTAAAAGCCTAAATCTATATTATAAAAGCACAAAACCTCTACGGGAAATGTTGATTGACTTTTTATTCTATAAAAATAAATTTTATATTAAATAAAAATATAATTTAAATATTTTAGTAAATAAGGATTTTAAAATCAATTAAATTTATACTATTGAATCTTTTTTATTTAAAATATATAGGAAGTATAATTTAGAACTTTAAAATGAATTATATATTAAAAATAAAATGTCTAAGTTAATATGTACATACACACCCAGTGAATTTTAATAACTTTTCATAGTAATTTGTTTGTCCTATTAAATTTTTATTATGTTTTAGTAATGCTTTCTTTACCACGTGCGTTTCGACAAAATTATGTAAATCATATTTTTTTTTATCTCAGCAAAACCTTACTACTTGAGTAACATTAAAACCTTTGAAAGGAGATAAATTGAGAAGACATGAAATTCAATTTTTTAATTTATGGTATATGATTTTTTTAAAAGAATCATAATAAAAGTGCTAATTAAACGTGATTGTGCCTTCTCGCATAAACTTGAGAATAGCTTTTGAACAATATTTTTAGAAAAAGTTTTAAATTACCAACGCTATGTGTTTTTACTGAAACTAAAAAGAAAATATAATAACTGGTAAAATTGAACTGATAAAACTAAAAAATTAGAACAAAATTTAAAGTAAATATATTGAATAATATTGAGGAACAAAAAAATTTCTTTATTGAGTTAGCTATATAGGATTAATATTGAATTAATTTCAAAAGCTTATACTTTATTTTATAATTTTAAAAAATCCAAAAATATATATGTAATTTTCTTAGCAAAAATTACTTTAAGATAGAAAACACGCGCAACCGGATCTTATAAATACACATTGACCGAAAAAAATGAGATGTTTTTCGTAGTTCCTTTTGGGTTCATCAGTTAGTGAGCGTTCGAACATAAGAATTGTAAAATTCCGAAAAAAAAGTGGAAAAAAAATATTAAGTGACAATGGTATTTGAAAACTATAATTGTGTTTGGACATGAATATAATTTTGGGTTATTTTTGAATTTTAGTGAGTGATTTGAGTGAAAATTTTGAAAAATAATTTTTTGGAGTTTTTCAAATTTTCAAAAAAAATCCAAAATTCATCTTCAAGTAAAAATTGAAAATTATATGACCAAACACTAATTTTGAAAAAAAGGGAAAATAATTCAAAAAGAAAGTAAAAAAATTTCCATGGCCAAACGGGCTCCTAGTCTTGGAACTTGGGGTTTGTCAATGGCCCTCATTCTATTCTAAGCTATTTTATGTCTTTTCTTTTGCTTTTTTCTTATTAAATTTTGGTTTTTTTGGAGGGTAAACCTAACAATAGGGCAAGGAAAGGCTGTCAGTGCACCATTTAATTAGGATGCATTACAACTAATAAGTTGTCATTCTAATATACTCCACTATTTATCAATCATTATATATTCAAATGCTTACTTATAGTCTGTTTGGTCAGGCTTTTTCAAATTAAAAAACTTTTTTATTAATTAAAAAGTATTGTTTTTAAAGTTAAAGTATTTGGCCAAGTTTTAAAAAGAAAATAAAGTGCTTTTGAGCAGACGCACAGAAGCAGTTTTGGAGAAGTAGAAAAAAGTAGTTTCTCTCCAAAAATACTTTTTTGAAAAGAATTTTGAGAAAAATACACTTAGAACAACTTTTAAAAGCTTGGTCAAACACTAATTGATGGTCAAAAGTGCTTTTCAAATTAATTAGCCAAAAATAAACTGTTTCTCAAAAGTACTTTTGAGAAAAATACTATTGAAAAAAAGCACTTCTCAAAATGAGCTAATTTTTGAAGTTTGGCCAAACATGCTATTATTATACCTTCCAACCAATTTATATGGTATTATTTGACTAAACATAAAGTTTAACAAAGAATGGAAGAATTTTAAAATTTATGGTCTAAAACAAACCTTAAATATTTATGTAGCTATAAATTATAATTTAAAAGTTAAATTATTTCAAAATAAATATGTGATATTTCTTTTGAGGATATGCAATAACAAAGTGTGAAATATAAATTGGGACAAATGAAGTATGTTTTAAGCTTTTCTAATGAGTATATTGTGAGTCGGAATTCTTGTAGTAATAGCTGAGTTGGTTGGGTGACTAGTTTTCCATATGGGTGTCACAGCCCAAAAACCAACCCTGTCGTGATGGCGTCTATTGTGGTACTAGGCAAGCCGACACATCATCAGAACAAGCGATATTTTCAATTTTAAGATAAAACCAAAGCTATATAACAATAAACCTTCATAGGGAGTTTAAATCAAAATAAAAGTGTGGAAAGAAAGCCCGACATCGGGGTGTCACTAGTCATGAGCATATACTACAACCGTCTGACAACATCAACACTAACATAGCCCGATGATAACTGAATGCAATAAAGGGAGGATAAGGAGGGAGAAAAAGCAAGGCTGGTTCGCCAGGCAGCTACCTTGCTAACTCCGGTGGATCTGCCACTGAATAATCAACACCCGCTACCGGATCCAGAAATATCTGGATCCGCACACAAGGTGCAGGGAGTAACGTGAGTATGCCAACTCAGTAAGTAACCAAAGTAAATAAAGGTTGAGCAGTAGTGACGAGTAATAAAGCATATAAAGTTCATATCATGAAATCTCAATAAAACTCAACAGGCCTTTAAAACCGTAGTATGAATC